TGTTGTTTGTGTTGTTTCTAAATTTTTGGTCTTAATTTTTTGGTATTAAGCTAAGTTTATATTATTTTGAAAGTTTTATATTCGATATTGTTTAATTTCATTACTTTAATTTAGGTTCTCTTATTTGTGTTTTAATTTAGTTAATTTTAGTTTATATGCTCAGGTTTGATATTGTTTTAGTTCAGTATGTTTCTCTGTAAGGTTTTTTTGTGTTTTTTGTTTTTAGGTTTGTTAGTTTTTTTGTGTTTAATTTTGTTTTTGTTGTGAATTTTGTGTTAAGTCTGTTAGTGTTGTAACTGTGTTTTTCTTATGGGTCTAGATTGGTTTTGTGTTTTTATTGTGTTTCTCTTATTTTTATATGTCTAAATTTGTTTGTGTTTTAGTTTGGTTTCCTTTATTTAATATGTTTAGATTAATTTTGTTATCTTTTTTTTCTTTTTATATGATTTTTTTTATGTTAGCATTTGATGGTATTTTGGTGTGGTTATTTTGTAATTATTTTTGAGCTTGTGAAACGTTAAATACACTTTTCCCTTTTATTATTGAAGTGACATTTAAAAGTTGTACAATTTCAGGGATATCCTGTTACCAGCCCATTGCTAACGGTGGGGGTGCTATTAGTGAGCGTGAAAAATGAGTGTTTTTATTGCCCATAAATTAACTTCTCAAGTGGGACTTATGGAACATTTTTCCCGACCTTGTCTTGAAGAGCCAAGAGACGTATTTCTCGGGGTCTCCCACAAATGTTACTAATTCTTTTACACAATCTGGTATGACTGATGATTCCTTAAGCTCGTATTCAGTGCGTGGGTGTGTTAGCGGTAGCGGTATTTCCGCCACCGGGTTACGTTTCCCGAAATCGGATTCGAGAGTACCTATTCTATTCCCTACTTTCTTAGCCTCGTCCTTCATCTCTGCCATTTGGGCAGTCAAGATTGTCATGGAGGCATCAAGGCGTTTCAATACTTCTTTCATTTCCTCCATTTTTTATTTCCTGATTTTTTGCTAAGTATTTTAAAAAGAATTTCCTTTGGTCAGGCCGTGTATTTTATTTTTTAAAAAGAATAGAGTGAAAAATGCAGATGGGCCTAACGGGTAACAGTTTGTCTCCTTACTATTTTTTTTATATTTTTTATTTATTCAGGGGAAATTGTTTTATTTAAACGTTTCACTCACCCGTTGGTTTCTTTTTCGCTTCGTAAAGATTCTGTGGTTTTTTCTGATTTGTGTGTGTTTTTTGGCCGTTTTCTTGTAGTCTTGTGGTGTTCTTACAGAGTTCTGAAATTAAATTTTTTATTAGTATTTTGTTTTTTGATTGGTGAAAAATTGGTATAGTTTTGTAAGATTTTTCTTCTTGGGGCGTTGTGCGTTAATACTTTGTGTGAGTTTTTTCTTAGTGCGGTTATTGGGTACTGGGCGCGATGGTCCGTATTTGTCCGTTCTGGCGTTTTGCCTACAACTACTACGGTTGCCACACAATCCACTGGGCAGCCCTTTTTGAATGCATTCCGCATTCGTGAGCCTTTCCAGCAGATTGCCACACACCACTTTTTGTTTTATTATTATTTTAATTTTATTATCACCTTCGGCTTTTTTCCTAGTTTGAAACCCGAAACAACACTAAAAAGGAATTGGAAAAAAAGTGTTCCCAATTATTTTCCAGTGCTATCTCCTTTTTCAAACTAAAATAATTATTTTTATTATATTTTTTGTTGCCAAAGCCTTTTCTCTCTTTTTTTATAGTGCAATTTTTGCGCTCGCGATTAAGCTACCCACTTGAGTGGACTTAACGCCGCAGCGGGTTATTGCTTCTTTTATTTTATACAGAATTTTTTGTGCCCGCGAATACGCCACACTGAGAGGTGCGTGGACATATCGCCGCGGCAGGTTCACTGTTGTATTATTTTATTACAACTTTTTTTGCGCCCGTGGGGAATGCCAGCTGCGAAAGGCAGCATCCCCACCGCGGCCGGTAGTTGTATTAGACACATTTCTGTGCACTCTCACATACACAACGCTGTATTAAATAATTTTTTACCCTTTTTTGGGTTTTTCGTTTCACACACACAACGCCGTATTAAATACTTTATACCCTTTTTTGGGTTTTTCGTTTCATTTTAATTTTTTTCCCATTTTTGGGTTTTTTATTTTTTATATTTAATAATTATTCACAGGGTACCCGTAGCTTTTTAATCTTTTATGTTTTCTTGCTAGGGGGTACCCTTCTTCTCTTTTCCTTTTTTTTCTTAACACATTTTTATTCTCTTTGATTTTTTGTCGGGGGGTACCCGCAAAAATTTGGGTCCCACTTTCGCGAGAAAGTGGAATCTGCTCGGGCGGTAGTTAAGGCCTGACATGGCCGGGGGAGTACAAAGCTCCTCTATACTACCTTATCGTGTTGTTTATCAGCAGCATCTCACTTGCTCACTCGTTCTCTTTGGTACTTAAGGAAGGCAACCTTTACTTTCGGATTACGTTATAAGTTTATTTTTATAATCTAATATTCGGTCCGCATGGTACTACGGTGGTTACAGAAGTGAGCTCTTAAATACTAGTGGGTTGGCCTCTTAACCAACTCCGGTCCTCCGGCGTCAGCATGCCGTTGGCAGACGCGGAAGTACCGTAGCCGACGGCAGCGGTTTTGGTTGGTCCGCTTGTTCCGCTCCGGATGTGAGCGCTGCATTTTATCTAGCGCAGTGGTAGGGGCGGCGGCTGTTGAGCTGAGGCAGCTAGCGGGCGGTCAACAGTCTTTTGCTTATTGTTGTCTTCTCCCTCCGTCTGGCGCCCCCCGTCCCCCCCCCCCCCTTCTCCCCTCCCCCCCCCCCCCCTTTCTGGGGGGGGTGTTGCTGCCGTTGCTCTTCTGCCGCTGACGTTCTGGCGCTGCCGCTGTCGTTCTCGCGCTGCCGCTGTTGTTCTTTCTCCCTCGTCGCGTCCCCCCCCCCCCCCCGGTGGTGTTTCTTCTCCCCCCCTTTTTTGCTTCTCCCCCCCCCCCTCCTTTTTTTTGTTGTGCCTCTCTTGCTTTTGGTTGGGCTGCCCCTCTTTCTTTTGGGGGGGGGGCGGGGGGGGCCCCGGCGCTGGTTGTGGTGTTCTTGTCCCCTCTCCACCTTAACGGTATAGTTGTGTGGGCCCGCAATTAAAATGAATGGGGGGGGGGGGGGGGGGGGGGGGGAGGAAGGGGGGGGGGGGGGGGGGGGGGGTATATTTAAAAATACGATTTGAAAAGATTCAGGTCAACAGCTTTTAAAATACGCGAAATTCGGTGAACAAAATAATTTTTAAGCGATTTTACTAATTTGCTCCTATAGGAGCTATCCGATTGGCACGCTTTTTCACCCTAATCATGGTATGCATTAAAAAATGCGATTTGGAAAGATTCAGGTCAACAGCTTATACACTGCGCGAAATTTGCTGAAAAAATTTAATTTGAACGCAATTGCACTATTGCTCATATGGATGATTTATAACATATAGACTTCCTATTGGCACGATATTTCACCTTAATTATGATATATATTTTGAAAAATACGATTTGAAAAGATTCAGGTCAACAGCTTTTAAAATACGCGAAATTCGGTGAAAAAAATAATTTTTAAGCGATTTTACTAATTTGCTCCTATAGGAGCTATCCGATTGGCACGCTTTTTCACACTAATCATGGTATGCATTAAAAAATGCGATTTGGAAAGATTCAGGTCAACAGCTTATACACTGCGCGAAATTTGCTGAAAAAATTTAATTTGAACGCAATTGCACTACTGCTCATATGGAGGATTTATAAGATATAGACTTCCTATTGGCACGATATTTCACCTTAATTATGATATATATTAAAAAATACGATTTGAAAAGATTCAGGTCAACAGCTTTTAAAATACGCGAAATTCGGTGAAAAAAATAATTTTTAAGCGATTTTACTAATTTGCTCCTATAGGAGCTATCCGATTGGCACGTTTTTTCACCCTAATCATGGTATGCATTAAAACATGCGATTTGGAAAGATTCAGGTCAACAGCTTATACACTGCGCGAAATTTGCTGAAAAAATTTAATTTGAACGCAATTGCTCTATTGCTCATATGGAGGATTTATAAGATATAGACTTCCTATTGGCACGATATTTCACCTTAATTATGATATGTTTTAAAAAATACGATTTGAAAAGATTCAGGTCAACAGCTTTTAAAATACGCGAAATTCGGTGAAAAAAATAATTTTTAAGCGATTTTACTAATTTGCTCCTATAGGAGCTATCCGATTGGCACGCTTTTTCACACTAATCATGGTATGCATTAAAAAATGCGATTTGGAAAGATTCAGGTCAACAGCTTATACACTGCGCGAAATTTGCTGAAAAAATTTAATTTGAACGCAATTGCACTATTGCTCATATGGAGGATTTATAAGATATAGACTTCCTATTGGCACGATATTTCACCTTAATTATGATATATATTAAAAAATACGATTTGAAAAGATTCAGGTCAACAGCTTTTAAAATACGCGAAATTCGGTGAAAAAATAATTTTTAAGCGATTTTACTAATTTGCTCCTATAGGAGCTATCCGATTGGCACGCTTTTTCACCCTAATCATGGTATGCATTAAAAACATGCGATTTGGAAAGATTCAGGTCAACAGCTTATACACTGCGCGAAATTTGCTGAAAAAATTTAATTTGAACGCAATTGCACTATTGCTCATATGGAGGATTTATAAGATATAGACTTCCTATTGGCACGATATTTCACCTTAATTGTGATATATATTAAAAAATACGATTTGAAAAGATTCAGGTCAACAGCTTTTAAAATACGCGAGGAGTCTTTTTTGAATCAACATTCAAAATTTTTTCTTCCATTATGGATGTAATGGTGTGCTTATAGTTGTATGTATTTAATAACATTAATAAAACATTTTCTGAAATTAGGATTTTACCTGATGTATGATCTCCAAAACTTTCTCCTTAATGTACATTTCATTCATGCTAAAATTTTGACAACGATTTCTGCTTTCGAGGGTTTTTTATTGAGTTATTTGTAAATTTACGCCTTAAATATCTGTGTCTATCCTGGTGTCCATATTATTTAAATTTAATTTGATTAATTTAATAAGCCGACATAAACGCTTACAAATGCAAAAGACTTTGTTTCATCAATCTTTGGATAAGCACACACCAATACGTGTTAGGGAAAGTGTCAACGGTTCTTTGACTTTTTGCGCAATAGGTCCGTAAATAACAGTTATTACAGTTCATATCAAAATTATAAGACAGTTCGTTTTTTTTTAGGTATTTTATATAATATCAAACCCAATGGCGGAAAACTATTCTGAAATTGTTAAAAGATAAATTAGACATGTGTTTAAGTTGGTTTTAGTTTATTATTTTACCGTTTATACATTTTGTTTAACAAAAATGAAAAAAATATAATTTTTAACCTTATCATAATTTTAAGACACTTTTTTTGTTATGATGTAGGAAATAAGAAACTATAAGTATAAATATATATGTCCTATAAGAAAACAACATTTTAATAGTTTATGGCAGAACCTTGACAAATACCAACATCAAAAATTCGTTTTATCATTGAATTTATGATGTTTTTCAAATAAACTTGGCTCAAGTTGGCTCCATTCAGACAAAATAACTGTTTCAAGGTCCAGAACGCGCTCATACTTGGCATTATCTTTATAAACTCGCCTTGCTAGTACTCCCCAAATGTTTTCAATAGGGTTCGGATCCGGGGAGCACGCAGGCCAGTCTATAGCTTCGACTGAACAATCTCGCAAAAACTGTGTGGTTTGACGGCTCGTATAGATTCGGGCATTGTCCTACATAAATATATGCGGCTTTTCCCGATTTTCCAACAAATATGAAAGCAGGCTATTGTTTAGTACCCGTATGTATTCACTGCTGTCCATCCTGGAGCTTGTGAACTGTAAATTAAGAGTTCCAAGCTTATTAAAAGCGCCCCAAACCAAAAATTAAGGGGCTCCTTCCTCAAATCTCGCCAAAAATTTTTAAATCCATCTGGCCCATTGAGATTAAATTTATTTTTTTAGCAGTCAGAAAGTATTGCTTTTCGACCAGTATTTTGTTTTTTACCATAATTGTCTGGATTCTAGAGAAAATTTGTTGTAACGGTTCGACTTCTACCAATATTTCTAGAAATTTGGCTCACATTCAAGCCGAGCCGAGAATAGGCCAGAATTGACCCTTTTCTTGGTCTGTCAAAAGCCTAGAGCGTGGCATTTTATGCAAAAAGTATAAAATTTTAATAACAACTCAATTTTAAGAAAAAAAATTGACACGGTTACGGCAACTCCAGTTTTTGCAATGTGTCTTATAATTGTGTTAAGGCAGAAACTGGGATAATTTCGTTATCTTGGTTGGAAATGTAACGATTCCCTTCAAAGCTAGGCCAAAAATAAAGGGTAATGGTATGTTATCGACAAGGACTGCATTCACTTTCATCATAAATTTTTGTTAAGCCTCTAGTTTAAGGAATCAACAATTTTTCAGGATTTCAATAAGCATTTTGCAGATGTCTTATAATTGTGATATGAACTGTATTATTTTGGACTTCAAAAAACGGTCAACTGTAATTTGCGAGCTCTGCTTACAATATATCAACAAAACGTATTTTGTTTCTTTTAAAAATACACATAAGCAATTTTTGAAATATAAGAATGATTATATTTTGTATTACATTTTTATAATGCCAATTAGTTTAATTTAAGAATGTTTTGATTAATGGATAATGGGATAAATATATGCTTTAAAAACCCAAAATTAAGAACAATTTTGAGCTATAATTTCTATATTACTGCTTTTACCGTAATATTTAGATTTATATAAACAAAAAAAATTAAACAGCGTCAGCGGGACTTTGGAATTCAGACAATGCATGTATAGGGTTCTGCACCTTTTTTTGAGAACCCTTACGAACTTTTGCTCGAACTTCTTCTGGTTTTTCCGGTCTGACCAAAGGTTTCTTCTCCGGGGCTTTCATTTTCCACACTACAATTGGAGACTATAACGTAAATTTAAATTAGTTTAATTTCTTTGACCGATTATTAAAAAATAAAACTTACAGATACTGTCCCTTGCCTAGTATATTTTGTCGATGCCACATATGAGTATTTTACTGTTAGAACAACAGCATTCATAAGATTTTTAGCAGCTTGAATCAACGATGTTGCGCTATCGAGCTAAAAAACAAAGATGGTTTGAAGCAGCCATTTTAATAATTATCAGACTTATTCTCACCCCAGAAACTATAAGTTCACCACTTATGTTTTGAACATCAGCTTTTACTTTTGAAGTTATTTGAATTTGATGACAATACAGGGCAATACGTTGCAAATACGCTAATAGGTCCTTTTTAGTGCTGCTTTCTGGGCATTGTTCTGCTATTTCCCTGGTCAGCTTATCCAGTTTTGTACCAGCTTCTGAAATTTTTTTAGCTGCGTTAATAACATCCATAGTAGTTTTTAAAGGTCCGCGTCCTCTGCAATAAAAAAATTTTTTTTTTTTTTTAATTATAGGTATGATAATGAAATTTAAGCCAGTTGTAGAGTACAGTTTATTGAAGGAGAATGAGGTCAGTCCCTAAGCTCGTTACAGGTTTGTCTTCTCAAACCATCTGGTAAGAGCAAGAATCGTGAATGATTGGTCAGTTTGATTGTTACTATAGCCGCAAGGTTGGGCAAGGTATAGATACCAAGAAATCTTCTGCGGTTGTGCGCAGGGCAGAGACATAGGACGTGTTTTATGCTTTTCTCCCCGTTTGCTTGTAGCTACGGCAGAAGTCGTAGGTTGGACTCTAGCCTAGGAAGTATTCTGTTAACGCACCGATTAGAATGGCTATGTCTTTCCTGGTGCACTGTATAAGTCCACTCGCGCTTTTGCCTTTACGTGTAGGCCAAGTTAGCTTTGTTTGTTTGCAGGTGGTGATTAAGTGCCTTCTGCTATCAGAAAGGTAACGGATTGTTTCAAGTTTAGCTTACGAGTGGTAATGATGCCCACGTTAAGGTCACGTTATCGGGAAGGATATCGGCTAATCAGCTACACAATTGCCTACAATGTCGCGGTGACCAGGCCCCAAATGAGGTGGATTCTGACACTTGCGGCACTCAGAGATGGTTGCTGAGGTGTTTTTAAAGGAGTCCAGGGCTCAGGTGAGTCATGACGACTTGTAAAAAAAAAAAAAAAAAAAAAAAAAGCCATGACCTCCGCATGAAATACCACTTCAGTGGCGGACTAAAGGAGTTCTTGATGTCTAATGCAGGAGAGTAGACACCACCTCCCGTTTGGTTGTTCAGCTTGGACCCCTCCGTATAGATGTTGATGGCTTTCTCCACTTGATGTGGGAGATTGTCCCAATCTGAACGTGACGGGATGCAAACCTTGTATAGTTCAGAAAAGTGTAAAAATGGGGTGACGTAATCAGTTGTGTTGGGTAAGTTGGTGAAAGTTCTTAAGTTAGTAGAGTGCTGATACCGCGCCACTAGTTAGGAGTTAGGCGCTTCCTGAAATTTTCTGAAGTTTGGATAAATTGTTCTTCTTTTCTAGGGAGTTCCACCAAACAATAATCCCATACAGAATTGGTCTGACTATTGCTGTATAAAGCCATTGTGAACAAAGCTATGGACGCTTTCCGTGTTTGGTCTGCTGTTTTCTGTCCAGAACAGTTTTCAGTCCAGTATTAACCCAATGAATATGGCTTTTTCGCTAAAGGTTAGACGAGTATGATGGGTTCGTTCTGGAACCTTGTACTTTCTGGTGAATAGTATCAGATCTGTTTTATCTGGGTAAGCCCCAAGTCCACACCCTTGCGCCCACACGGACAGTGATGACAGAGATGTTTCCATGAGGTTACTGAGTGTTTCTGTGTATTAAACTTGAATTAGGATTACTACGTCGTCCGCATATGCTATCACCCTAAAGCTAGGAGTAGAAGTAGTTGGTTAACCACTATGACTACTATGGTCGAGGGGAGAGGACTCCTCCTTGAGTGGTATTTCTGCTAACTGGTCTAGTAGCCTGGGCCAGTCCCATAGTTGAGATGACTACTTTGCTGGCAAGCATTGAGTGAATGATTCTCAGTAGCGATAGTTCAACTTCTAGGCTCAGTAGTGCTCGTGTGATGACTTCTTGAGTGACGTTATTGAAGGCGCCTTCTGGTGGAAACAGTTTTCTATTTGGGATACTAATGTATGTAGTGAGTCGATTTGACATTCCGGTAGGCGTGCTAAGCGTTGTAGAAGAGGATAGGGTTTACTGTTGTTCTAATATGGGTGACTATTAGTCTTTATTTAGTTCAGAAGTATCGGTATCACATAGTAGTATAGCTCCGGTAGCATGTAGACGTGTATTCTTAACGCTCCGGAGAAACAATTAGTCACTCAGTCGAAAACGTTCGAAAAATTTATAAACGCAAGGTTTTGCGATTCGCGATGCTAATTCGCATATCGTAAACTAAAGTTTTAATTAATTAATTAATTAATCTTGACGTACTAATAATAAACAAATGAGTAAGAACGTGGATCAGCACACTCAACGCCAAAAACAACAAGACGAAGCCCGTGAAAAAAATGAGAGAGAGCAAGACAAACGTCGTCTCTCCTTGGCCCGTAACAATGCTTATTTCTCTTTCACGAGTAATACTCTAGAACCGAAAGTGCAAGAAGGTGTAAGTTAACTGACCGCCGAAAACCAGAGAGTTAGTTCTAGCTCTCCCGCCCTACTTTTCACCGCTCAAACGCCATGGAGTGAGCCATGCAAAACTCCAACCAAGTTTCTGCCACCTAGTGCAACAACAACAGCAACTACTATCAGGTGTACAAGTAGAAAACCGCCGTTTTCCACTGGGTGGCGCCACCTTTGGAAATTGGTGAGGGAATTCCGATCAAAAGCATCACATGGCAAGCTTAGGTATCGGTCAACAACCCCACATCATCTCGCTCGTCAATTCTCATTGTCCATTTTTATGTTGGCGCGCGAAGATGTCGAAATTTGATATTCGGTTCAAATTTATTTGCGGGAGATTTTGCTTTTCGCGTTTCATTCAAAAAAAATCTGCTGCTGAAGCGCGTCGAATGATTGTAGCAACATATAGTGAGTCGTGTATCAGTGAAAGAACGTGCCGAGAATGGTTCGTGAAGACAAGGATCGGGCGGGTCCCGTGAAAAAGTTTGAAGATGCAGCTTTGGAGACTCTGTTGGATGAAGATTCTTGTCAGACACAACAAGAATTCATCACAGGAGCTCTCTATTTTGAATAATCAGTATGTAGCTATAAAGCAATAAAGCCTCAAACTATGAAAAAACGGCGGTTTTCTACTTGTACACCCAATACGTAAACTACAACGGTCTCTGTCGACAACAATGCAATAACGACTCCACTCTCTTCTTCTGCAGCGGGTAAAGCAACAACACAACCAAGTGCAAAAATCGGGTCAAACACAAAGTTACGGTAGGTGAAATGATAATTCCGCAAGCGGGTTCGGCCATGCAGACAGGCATGGATCGCTACATTAATATTTCCTAGCGCAAGCTAACACCCCAAAAAAACCATGTCAAAAAGAATTACTACACGTACCAGCAGAAAAGTTGCAAAGGCTTACAAGTTGTGCTCAAGGGAATAGAACCCGATGTGACCCCCTCCGAAATTATAGAGACTTTAAAAGAAAACGGTTTTTGCGTAAAATATGTTATTAATATTATAAACAAAAACAAGAAGCCGCAAACACTTTTCTAGGTCGATCTGGAGCCAGACAGCAGATCTTTAAAAACAAAAGCAGTGCACCCAATCTACAAGTTGCAGTTCCTTCTGCACCGTAGGATCACAGTAGAAGAGCCGCACAAACGGAACGGGCCAGTGCAATGCACAAATTGTCAGCAATACGGACACACCAGGGCTTACTGCACCCTCAGGTCAGTTTGTGTAGCTTGTGGAAACTGCCACGGCTCCGAACCCTGCCCTGCCAACAAGGAAGACTCTCTCACCAAAAAGTATGTAAGCTGCCAAGGAAACCACACAGCAAACTACAGAGGTTGTCCAGTCTACAAGGAGATGAAGAGTCGGATGCAAAGAGCGACAACGGCTGGCCAGAACATTTACATGACAACGACAACCGAAGTTTTCTTCGCAAAAGCAGCCAGGTCATCATTTGACCCTTCAATTACCACCAACGGCATTTCCTACGCCAGTGCTCTAAGATCAGGCACAGCTCACATTGAGCCGAAAATTGATAACATACAGCAGGCCATGGGACAGCCACAAAGTAATATGGAAACTATGATGATAACTTTGCAACAAAATATGATGTATTTATGATGTAATGTTATATAATGATGTATGCATATACCTGAATTAGCTCAATTTCTGAACGAAAACCACATCGACGTTATGTTGCTGGCAGAAACGCATCTCCCCAGCAAATATAACTTTCAAATACGGGGATACACGTTCTACGGCACCGATCATCCAGATGGTAAGGCACAGGGCGGAACCGGCATCCTAATAAGAGACCGCATCAAACACCACATTCACAAACGGTTTACAAAAAATTATCTGCTACATCGATAAAATTACAATTGGGCAACTGCAACCTTGCCGCTGTCTACTGCCCACCCCGCTTTACAGTCTCCGAAGACTAATTCATAGACTTCTACAATTCACTTGGAGAGCGATTTATAGCAGGAGGTGATTACAACGCCAAGCACACACACTGGGGATCCCGCCTTGTGAGCCCCAAAGGAAGTTAACTATATAATGCACTCATCAAAACATGCAACAAACCGGACTACGTTTCACCAGGCAGTCCTACATACTGGCCTACAGATTCTAAGAAACTACCTGATTTAATTGATTTTGTCGTGACACAAAATATTCCTCGCAATCTAATATCTGCAAAATCGATTTTGGATCTATCATCGTCTTTTTTGGAGAAAAGACGTTTGAGGAACGCTTTGCAAACCAGCAGATCGCCATCCTCAAAACATAGCCTGAAGGAAGCTGGTCGCAGACTTACCAGAGCTCTAAGGCACGAAGAAGAAAAAGCACAACGCCAGTACAATGAGAAACTTTCACCCACCAGCACCAAGCTCCACGACAAATACAGAGCTTGTAAGTTTGCTTTACACCTTCGAAATGTTTTTCAACCAAACCCTGAAAATAATTCATTCACACTACCGTCGCCGTCAATTTAAATTGGAACTGAGACGGCGCCAATTCTGTTTCAACCAAACGGAGTTGCAAAAGTCATCAGCGAGCAATTAAAAACAAAAAAGGCCCCAGGCGGTGATCTAATAACTCCTGAGATGCTAACTGAACTCCCAAACTGTGCAGTTCAGGTAATTTGTAAACTCTTTAATTTACATTAAATTACATTACATGACTTGGCTACTTCCCAAAAAAATGGAAAAAGTCTGTAATTATAATGTTCCCAAAGCCAGGAAAAGATCACACAATACCAGCTTCATACAGACCGATAAGTTTACTCTC